GTTACCTCGTCAACGTTGCTGGGGTGGGTCAAATCAAATTTTCGTTTTTTTTGCTTTATTTTTGACCATTCTCAGATTAAACTTCCAACCTCTAATTTTTTTATTTTTATAGGTTCCATGCGATTTCGATAACAACATCTTCGTGCTGGCCATGTTCATGGACACCACTTACCTGATCCTCTTCATCAACTTCTTCTTGCAATCTTATGTGCTTCGTGGTGGTAAAGCTAAATACCAGACGGTGGCCACTGAAACGAAGAAGAGAAAATAGATGTACTAACGGGTTGCTCTTAGCTCTAAAAAATAGTACGACTTCCTTGTGTTTAAGATGGTTCTTTGTTCTTTTTTCTCTATTTTTGTATTGTTGCGCTCAAACGAAGATCTGGTTTTGTCTCATCATTCCTTCACTACATCATGGAATCATATAATTTTATCTCTGGATTTTGATTCGTATCGCGTTATACGTCACGACGATCGTTTAGGATTTAATGAAGGTGCAGAGATAATTAATAGATTGTACTGTTTCGTTTCTTACATGACACATTCTTATCGACTGATGCAAAACATACTGTCGTTTGAGGCAACTCTTTAATTTCTATTTTCGTTGCTACACGCGTTCAAAGTTACTTAGTTTCCTTATCTTATCTCTACAACGCAAAAACCAACTGTACCTTTCAGTCGCAACATTCTCCCAGTTCTCATAAATTAATTGCAGAGCCCCTTTAAAGCTAGCGTCGCCCGATTTTCATCGAACCACTTGCATCTTATTCTCTCTACAGTTCGCGGCAGGCACAATATCATAATAGTTAAGAATCTGACTTAGTGTTGTAGATACATTTGAAAGCGACATAGGCGTCTGTGTAATTCCAAAGTTTAAAACACATAGACAAATCATCTCATCTTAATAGTTTAGTATCATTAGGCTATCCTAATTTGCAACTTCAAGGCAAAAATCCCGAGAGTGTTGGGAAAATTCTCTATTTTTGAGAAAAATTAACGCTAAAGAAAAAGGAGGCAATAGGAAGAGGGAAGGGGTGAAACACATCGAAAGTTGCAA